ATAAATCTCTGCACAGAGGGAAACTTTATCCAAAAATGCATGCTCTTTGGCGATTTTTTTTTTTCACGACGACAGACTTATATGAGGCAAGAACTATCTAAAAATCTGCTCTTCAGAAAGGGCTTATTAAACCACAGAGCGGGTGGGGCTTGAACCCATGGTTTGCTTGCAATCGTGTTACTGCGATTTTCGTGACTCAAAGGGCTTAATTCTTTAAAGAATCTTCGTTCCCAATAACGACTCTTGGTAACTTAACTGGAGAGTCTGGTAAAGTCCATTAGAAGACTATATTTTTTTGTAAAACAAAAAAATGTATAACTGGAGCGAAAATCCTTAGGATTCCCCAAAAATAGATATTTATATGTGCTTTTAGGAATTGGCATCAATATTTCTTCTGTCACAGTTTCATTAAACCCTCTATTACAGAGGTCGAAAACGGCTCTGTAGCGTAAGATAGCTAGCGATAACACAGATAATACAGGTCTATTAGAGACTTCTTCGACGGTGTTTCGAGTGGCACCTAGGTACAGGATCCATAAAGCTCGTCATCTATCCAGTTGATGTATTGGTCGACGCGTGTATAGATACCAGGGTACATGGAAGAGCCACAACCATACCCGGTACTGACGATGCCGACCTCCAGCTTCACTCCGCCCTCATTCAGCACCAGCGGACCCCCTGAATCACCCTGAGAGGAAGGAAAACATCGGACTTATCAATACCAATTAAAATCTTAGGCTTTACTATTGAGACACTCTAGGCATAGTTGTCCTTCTACAGTTCAAAAATAACTGATATAGCCTATCTCCGTATATCTAACAGTATAGATCCTTAGCACTGATATCTCACCTTATTAAAATATTTGAATGTCGTAAAGTAAAATTGACCAGCGTATGGAATCACATTTACACAATCTAGAATAACATGGAACGTAAGTTTATAGCAAGATGGTCATACCTCTAGCAAGGAACCCTGCAAAATACTTTGACAAGTGGAATAATGGTGTACTAACACACAAAATGCGTGCTAAGGAATACCTGGAAAAATGGGGGCAGATGGATCTTGATCTTTATAATTATATGTACACAAACACTAATAGTCAATAAAGTAATAATCAGAGGCCTCGACACCGCAAGCTGTTCCTCAAGGTACAGTAAAAACAACCATGACACGGGTGGGGGCTTGAATCCACGGCGACTGAGTTGTAAAACTCACTCGCTATGGGTTCAAACCTCACCCGTTTCCGTGGTTTGTTTTCAATCATGTTACTACGATTTCGTGAGTCATGGAGGTACAGTACTTTCCCCAGCTCTCTCATTTAAATTCAAAGACTTTTATTTCTTTTATGCAGTATATGAGGCCTGGTCACAGGCCGGGCCGCGGGGGCGTTGATCCCCGGAACTCTCTCCAGGTAAACTCCAGGTATAAATAATGTAGTTTCCACGTAATAAAATATTGTTAGGCATAAAAGAAAGCCACTAGCATGTAATGGTACTAAACAGTGTTGTTATATCCTTGAAGACGACACTAGAATTTGTACAGGAGCGGGTTCGATTCCCGGCGGGTGGAAATTCCGACACGTTTCCTTACACCTATTGTCCTGTTCACCTAGCAGCAAATAGGTACCTGGGTGTTAGCCGACTGGTGTGGGTCGCATCCTGGGGGACAAGATTAAGGACCCCAATGGAAATAAGTTAGACAGTCCTCGATGACGCACTGACTTTCTTGGGTTATCCTGGGTGGCTAACCCTCCGGGGTTAAAAATCCGAACGAAATCTTATCTTATCTTATCTTATCTCTTATCCACCGAGGAAGAAGCAACTCATCCAGTCAATGCAAACCCAGTCTTCCAGTGGGCCAGAGATAACAGTACGATGTTCAACGAAGACAAATTTCAACTAGATCTCTAAGGGAAAAAAATAAAAACTAATAAAAACTAAAAAAAAAAAAAAGCCGGAAAAAACTTATGAGGAGAGTAAAAGTTACAGATGTTGCCAGTTACCCAAGTGTAAAGTAAGAGTAAATAATTGCATTAGCATAAGTATTTGTTTTTCAAGGGTGTTATCTAATGTTGTGCAGTTTTGTGAAACTGTGCACTGTATCTTGTGGAAATAAAACTTTGTTTATTTGATTCTTTGAAGATAAAATTCCCTCAGCATAAAGGGTTTTCAACACTCTCGGTTCACATATAAAGTTACCAATAAATCACAATTTATCTGCAAGAGGAAATTTTACAAGATTACTAAAAAACACTCCTGAATGTGGGGAGGCAGCACTAACAGCGTGAGTGATCAGGTTATCAACCTGAAGACCCGGTCCAAGACCGGGCCACGTAGACGATGATCCCGGAAACCATTCAGGGTAATCCACAGGTGTAATTAGGACCCACACCAGCGCCACCTGTAACCACTAACACCTGTTATCAGCGCCACTAACCCTGCACACATCATTGATCTTGCCAGCACAGAGAAGCCGGTTGTCGATGCCAACAGGGTAATCGATGTCAACAATGGGCTTTAAGTCTTGGTCGTTGACGTAGACGTCGTTGCACTCCTGCTGCGACACCACCACCACCTCCACGTCGTGAAGCACCGTCGACACCGTGCCTGAGTGCCAGCAGATGCACGTGTTTATTGTCCAATTTCTTATGGAGTTCCTGGAACCACACCCACCTCAATGCTCTTCCCTCCTTCCTTCCCTCCCATCTCTCTCTCTACTCTCTCTCTCTCTCTCTCTCTCTCTCTCTCTCTCTCTCTCTCTCTCTCTCTCTCTCTCTCTCTCTCTCTCTCTCTCTCTCTCTCTCTCTCAATCTATGAAACACTGACCCTGCAGTTCTATACATTCGGACAAAAAAAAAAGTGTTTGGAGTGAAAAGTAATTAAAAGCAACAAACATAATGAAACTCTGTAGCAGGAGATGCAATCCAAAAGTAAATGCTTTCTCGCCTACACTCGGAGAACACTGGAACACATTGCCCTCTGATGCATGAATGCTTCTTGGCATCTGAACTAGTAGTGGCTTTGATTTTTGAACACAGTGGAGCATATCCAGTGACCTGGAGCTGCTCCACCTTTTCACGAATCAAACCTGATCTCTCCCAGCTCCTCAAGCACTGTATGACAGTGACGACTTTACATGATAATGATACAGTTACAGTACAGTGATCTTTTTAAAGTATTATCATTCAACCTATTGCCACAACCACAACTGCTACCGCCACTACAACCACCATCACTTACAACCATTCCAGTACAGTCACTATTATTATAATTACCACTTTGAAAACCACCACCCACTACCACCACTATCATCACCACCATCATCACTACCACCACTATCATCACCACCATCATCACTACCACCACTATCATCACCACCATCATCACTACCACCCACCACCACATCACTACCACCCACCATCATTACACTCACCATCGTTATCACTACCATCACCACCATCATCTCTACCACCCACCACCATCACTACACCCACCACTATCATCACCACCATCATCACTACCGCCCACCACCTTCATTACTACCATACACTACCATCATCACTACCACCCACCACCATCATCACTACCACCCACTACCATCATCACTACCACCCACTACCATCATCACTACCACCCACCACCATCATCACTACCACCCACTACCATCATCACTACCACCCACTACCATCATCACTACCACCCACTACCATCATCACTACCACCCACTACCATCATCACTACCACCCACCACCACATCACTACCACCATCATCACTACCACCCACCACCATCATCACTACCACCCACTACCATCATTACTATCACCCACCACCATCACTACATCCACCGCTACCACCACCTCACCTCCAGGTCTCCTGCCCCAACCTGAGACAGTACAAACACGTCCTGTCAGGTCCCGTACTTGTTTTGGTAAACAATAAGGCCTCAGAGCTGATGTAAACTCAACCTGAAATAATAATAATAATAATAATAATAATAATAATAATAATAATAATAATAATAATAATAATAATAATAATAATAATAATAATAATAATAATAATTCATATTTAAGAAGCTACAGTAAGTGTACAGATGAACTGTGGCCTTGATGGCCCAAGTGCAATCAACTGGCTTCACATCTAACAAATTCTAATAATAACAAAATTGTTTCAGTTTCAACTGATATCAGCTACGATGTCAAATGAGTTTCATAGCCTAATGAGGTTACACTGGGTCTACTAAGGTCACAGTGATCTAGTATAATAACAGTGACGTCACGTTATGTGGCTTCGATGGGTTTATTCACATCACAAAAAAAAAGCTATTGATCTGTATGGTGGGAGAAAGGAGCAGCTTACCTTATCTCTGAGAGTTATAATAGCGATGTCGTTGTATTTGGCAGGCAGAGCGTAGCCCTGGTGGACTTGGATTCCCAGAACCTGGTAGTCAAAAGCCTGGCTCTCTCCCACCTGCTCGAAGTCCACCTCTCCCAGACGCACCACGGAGGGCCTACGAAGAAGGGAACACGATGAATAGGTCCAATACCCTAGTGGGTTTAGCGTTTCTTTTTGATAATAATAACAATGATAATAATAAGAGCTCCAGCAATATGAACAGTTCCAGCACAGGGAACAGTTCCAACGCCAGTAGCTTCTCCAGCACAATAAACACTTCCAGTTAAGGAACAGTTCCAGCAATGAACAATTCCAGTACAGGAACAGTTTCAGCAAAGGAACAGTTCCAACACCAAGAATAGTTCTGTTATCAGGAACAGCTTCAGCATCAGGAGCAATGCCATTATTAGGAACAGTTCTAGCATCATGTAACACCTGGAGAATGGGAAATAATGAGATTCCCTCTAAGAAAGAGGACTGCTGCTCCAATTTCCTGGTTAAAGAGTCCTTCACCAGCAACTTTACACAGTGCATGAAAATTATCCGGTGTGGAGTATAAAAGGAAAATCATCCTGTATGAATATAATAATAATGATAATAATAATAATAATAATAATAATAATAATAATAATAATAATAATAATAATAATAATTTTATTTCTACAAGTATTCAACTTATACAGACCACAGCTGACATCAGTGACATACTATATAGAAAGCCCTTTGTCATGCATGGCATTTCGGGAACATTAGATTAATTTTGTCCCCAGGATGCGACCCACACCAGTCGGCTAACACCCATGTGCCTATTTACTTCTAGGTGAACAGGGACAGCACGTGTCTTAGGGAAACACGCCCAATTTTTCATCCGTACCGGGTATCGAACCACGGACCTCAATATGTGAGCTGAGTGCGCTACCAACCGAGCTACGGGACACCCTAAGATGAAAAACTATCTTACGTGATGCAGAACTGCACGACAGTAATGTCATCCTACGCCATGGATTATGCCAAAAGAATCCTCTGTGAGAAACATTAGATAAATATACTTAGCTCTTCTCAGCCCTTATAAAATGAAACGAAACACAACAATATAAGTACATCTAACATAACTAATGCAAAAACAAAAAACACACACACAGATGGTACTTACTTGGAGAATGTGACTTCGCCGGTCTGAGTGACTCCGGGAGTGATCAGACAGTGGGCAGCAGTGAGGACATGGTAGGGGGAAATGAGGGAGCCCCCACAAGAGAACGTACTGCGACGTCTCCGGGTATTCACGGTAACCGGAGTAGGACCCCCGCTGTCGAACCCGGCACCAGTGGCTTCTGCAGTGCCAGGAACACTCAAGTCGCTGGGAGAACTTGTCACTGCGGGAACAGTTCCAGCATCAGGAACAGTTCCGGTTTCAGAAAAAGTGCCATTATCAAGAACTGTTTCCATTATAAGGAGTAATTCCAATATCAGGAAAAGTCTCATTATCGGGAACAGTGCCATTAACTGGAACAGTACTATTATCGGGAACAGTTCCAGCATTAGGAACAGTTCCACTGCCAGGAATAATTTCAGCACCAGGAGCATCTACAACATCAGGAACAGTCCCATTAACAGAAACAGTTCCAGCACCAGGAGCAACTCCATTAATAGTAACGGCTTCAGACCCAGTAACAGTTCCATTAATAGAAAAATTTTCATCACTGGGAACAGTTTCAGCACCAGGCACAGTTCCATTGTCAGAAATAGTTCCATCAGAAACAGTTCCAGTATCAGCAACAGTTCCATTATCAAAAACAGTTCCAGCATCAGCAACAGTTCCAGCATCAAGAACAGTTCCAGCAGCAGCAACAGTTCCAGCATCAGCAACAGTTCCAGCATCAGCAACAGTTCCAGCATCAGCAACAGTTCCAGCATCAGCAACAGTTCCAGCATCAGCAACGTTCCAGATCACAACAGTTCCGCATCAGCAACGTTCCCCCTCGGAAAAAGTTCCAGCACAGGAACGTTCCGCTCAGCAAAAAGTTCCGCATCAGGGAAAAGTTCCAGCATCAGGAACAGTTCCACATCACAACAGTTCCAGCATCAGCAAAAATTTCCCGATCAGGAACAGTTTTGCATCAGAACATTCCGGGACAGCAACAGTTCCAGCACAGCAACGTTCCGCATAGCAACTTCCACATCGCAACAGTTTGCATCAACAACAGCTCCCCGCTCAGGAACAGTTCCCCGCATAGGGGAAAGTTTTCCGCTCAGGAACGTTCCGCACCCGGAACAGTTTCCCGTATCATAACAGTTTTTATAATCAGGGAACAGTTCCCTTATCAAGAACTGTTCCATTTCAAGAAGGGGTTCCCGCATCAGGAATAGTTCCGCATCAGGAAACTTCCCTTATTAGGAACAGTTCCATTACGGAACAGTTCCGCTCAGCAACAGTTCCTTATTAGGAACAGTTCCTTTCAGGAAAAAGTTCCATTATTTTAAAAAGTTCCAGCATTGCAAACAATTCCATTATCAGGAACAGTTCTGTTATTAGAAACGTTCCCGCTCTGGGAAAAGTTCCCGCACAGGAACAGTTCCATAAGGAACGGCCAGCACAAAAAACAGTTCCAGATCCGCAACAGTTCCCATCAGGAAAAGTTCCGCATTTAGCAAATTCCCTTTTAGGAACAGTTTTCCTTATCAGGATGTTCCATTATTTGGAACAGTTCCCATTCAACAGTTCCATTATCAGGAACAGTTCTTTTTTAGGAACAGTTCCAGCATCAGGAACAGTTCCGATGGAACGTTCCAGTATCAGGAACAGTTCCCGCAACAGAAACAGTTCCAGCATCAGGAACAGTTCCAGCATGGAACGTTCCCGCATCAGCAACAGTTCCATCTTGGAAAAAGTTTTATTATCAGGAAAAGTTCCATTTTTGGAACAGTTCCAGCAACAGCAAAAGTTCCCGCTCAGGAACATTCAGCATCAGGAACTTTCCCGTATCAGCAACTTCAGCCAAGGGAAAAGTTCCGCATCAGGAAAAGTTCCCGCAACAGCAAACAGTTCCAATCGGAACAGTTCCAGATCAGGAACGTTCCCATCAGGAACGTTCCTTTAGGAACAGTTCCGCCTCACAACGTTTCCCCCAAATTTGGAAAAAGTTCCGCATCAGCAACGCTCTATCATTAGGAACAGTTTCTTTTTGGAACAGTTCCCTAATCAAGAACGTTATTTCGGAACTTTCCTTATCAAAAACAGTTTTTATAGGAAAAATTTTTCCCTTATCAAGAACTTTTATTTTTAGGAACATTTCCCGCATGCAACAGTTCCAGCATCAGGAAAAAAATTCCGTTATCAAAAAAAGTTCCGCTCGGAAAAGTTCCTTTTCAAGATCTATTCCCTTATCAAGAAAAGTTCCAGCATCAGGAACAGGGTTCCCCAATCAGGAACTGTTCCCGCATCGGAAAGTTCAGATAGGAACAGTTCCATATCAGAAAAAGTTTCCTATTAGGGAAAAGTTCCATTATCAGGGGCAGTTTTCCCGTCAGAACAGTTCCCTCTTTGGAACAGTTCCCCCAAACAAACGTTCCCTATAAACTTCCTTTCCTTCCGCATCAGGAAAGTTCCTAAAACCCGCCAGGGAAAATTTCCCCCAAAAATTTTTCTTCAGAACCCTTCCAGAAATCCAAAAAAAAAAATTTCCCACAGGAAAGTTCCACCCAAAAACAGTTAAAAGAAAGTTTGATAACCAGTTTTGCAACCCCTCAGCTAGAACATTTCGTTCGCCTTTTTAATCGAAACCCTCAGAACTTCCAAATTAAGGCATTTTCCCCAAAATTAAAGCAAAAATTCCCCTCAGCAACAGTTCCAGTATCAGGAACATTTTTCAGCATCAGGAACAGTTCCGCATCGGAACAGTTCCACATCAGGAACAGTTTCACATGGAACAGTTCCATTATCGGGAAACCAGTCCTATTGTCAGGAACAGTTCCTACATCAGGAACAGTTCCAGTATCAGGAACAGTTCCAGCATCAGGCACACGTCCATTATCAGGAACAGTTCCATTATCAGGAACAGTCCTATTATCAGGAACAGTTCCATTATCAGGAACAGTTCCATTATCAGAAACAGTTCCAGCATGAGCAACAGTTCCATTATCAGGAACAGTCCTATTGTCAGGAACAGTTCCATTATCAGGAACAGTTCCAGCATCAGGAATAGTTCCAGTATCAGGAACAGTTCCATTATCAGGAACAGTCCATTATCAGGAACAGTTCCATTATCAGGAACAGTTCCAGTATCAGAAACAGTTCCAGTATCAGGAACAGTTCCATTATCAGGAACAGTTCCATTATCAGGAACAGTTCCAGTATCAGGAACAGTTCCTATGATCAGAAACAGTTCCAGCATCAGAAACAGTTCCATTATCAGAACAGTCCTATTATCAGGAACAGTTCCATACCCAGAACATTCCGCATCAGAACAGTTCCAGTATCAGGAACAGTTCCATTATCAGGAACAGTTCCATTATCAGGAACAGTTCCAGCATCAGGAACAGTTCCAGTATCAGGAACAGTTCCAGTATCAGGAACAGTTCCAGCATCAGGAACAGTTCCAGTATCAGGAACAGTTCCAGTATCAGGAACAGTTCCTGCATCAGGAACAGTTCCAGTATCAGAAACAGTTCCATTATTAGGAACAGTTCTATTATCAGGAACAGTTCCAACATCATTAACAGTTCCAGTATCAGGAACAGTTCCATTATTAGGAACAGTTCCATTATCAGGAACAGTTCCATTATCAGGAACAGTTCCAGCATCATTAACAGTTCCAGTATCAGGAACAGTTCCATTATCAGGAACAGTTCCATTATCAGAAACAGTTTCAGCATCAGCAACGTTCCAGTTATCAGGAACAGTTCTATTATCAGGAACAGTTCCTGCATCAGCAACAGTTTCAGTATCAGGAAAAGCTCCATTATCAGGAACAGTTCCATTATCAGGAACAGTTGTATCACCAGAAAGAGTTACAGCCTCACTAGCTGTTGCAACACCAGGAACAATCCCCTTCTCAGCAACAGCAGCATCAACAGTCTGATTTCCACCATCTGCAAGAAATTTTAAAATGCTAAGTGCCTTATGTGTGCCATGCACCTCTCACACTACCTGCGTATTCTTAATAGTAAACTAAGTTATAATAACGTGGCTGTAACGTTGCACAGTTGATTTTTACCTTGATTAATCTTTTATTTTTGTATTTGTTTTCTTTCAAGGGCACCGAGTGATCTACCAGGTCAAGGTATCAAGTGATCCAGTAGGTCAATGTACCGAGTGATGTACTAGGTCAAAGCACAGAGTAATGCACTAGGTCAGTGTATCGAGTGATGTACTAGGTCAATGCACCGAATGATGTACTATGTCAGTGCACCGAGTGATGTACTATGTCAGAACACTTGAGAAGGCCATTGGTGAAATGCCTATGATTTTAAACTGATGGAAGATAGAGGTATGGGTGTGTGTGGGAAACAAGCAGGTTGCAACACTAGGGTTGGAAACAGTAAATGTATAAAAGGCATTCAGCATGAAGTTATAAATAAAGACAATAGAACAGGTCAGCAAACAAAGGGGGACAGCAGAGGGCAGCAAGGGACTAGCTCCCTTAAGGTTTACTATACTAATAGCAGGAGTGTTAGAAATAAGATAGATGAGCTAAGATTAATTGCAAGTGCAGGAAAAATAGATATTATTGCTATAACAGAGACCTGGCTCAAAACTGAAAGATAGAGAGAGATGCCCTCTGAAGTCACATACAAGGGTATAAATTATTCCACACTGACAGGGGCAAAAGGAAAGGTGGTGGAGTAGCGATGTATGTCAGAGACAATTTAAATTGTTGTGTTTTGACAAGATATTAAATAGAAGCGTCAGCCACTGAATCTGTTTGGTTACAGCTTCTCGAGGGCCGAGAAAAACTAATTTTGGTGTGTGATTTACAGGGCCCCAAATCTTGATAGGGAGTGCAGTAAACTTCTATGGGACGAAATTCGTAAGGCATCTACATACGAAAATGTTGTGCTAATGGGAGATTTCAACTATAGACAGATTGACTGGAGCAATTTGACAGAAATTTAGAGTCGGGTGACTTTCTTGATACGATCCAGGATTGTTTTTTAAAACAGTTTGTGACAGAGCCAACTAGGGAAATAACCTCCTTGACTTGGTTCTTGCCAGTAGGGAAACACTAATTAATAATCTGAGTTAATGATGAGCTTGGGGAGAGTGATCACAAATCACTCAGTTTTAATATATCATGGAATTCCCTAATAATGGCAATCAAGTCTCCGTCCCTGACTTTCGCTTGGCTGATTTCATAGGACTGAAAAATTACTTAGGTGGGCTGAACTGGAATGACCTGACTAAGGGTCAGGTAGGTTGTGATGGTTGCCGATATGATGCTTTCCAGGGCATAGTTCTAGCTGCTCAGTCAAATTATGTTCCAAATAGGGAAATCAGATCAAACAAAAATGATCCTAAATGGATGAACAATAGATTAAAATATCTGATTGGTCAAAAGAGAGGCATATATAGGCAAATCAAAAGAGGAGAGGGGCAATTAAGAAATCGATATATTCAGTTAAAGAGAGAAATAAAAAAGGGAATTAGAAAAGCAAAAGAGATTATGAGGTTAAAGTTGCAAAAGAATCGAAGACTAACCCAAAAGATTCTTTCAGGTATACAGAAGTAAGATCAGGGACAAGATAGCCCCACTCAAAAGTTCCTCGGGTCAGCTCACTGACAGTGATAAGGAAATGTGTAGAATTTTTAACACATACTTCCTCTCAGTTTTTACACAGGAGGATACCAGCGATATTCCAGTAATGATAAATTATGTAGAACAGAGACGATAATAAACTGTGCACTATAGGTCACAAGTGACATGGTCCTTAGGCAAATAGATAAATTAAAACCTAACAAATCCCCAGGCCCTGATGAACTGTATGCAAGGGTTCTAAAGGAATGTAAAGAGGAGCTTAGCACACCTTTGGCTAATCTTTTCAACATATCACTACAAACTGGCATGGTGCCAGATAAGTGGAAAATGGCAAATGTGATACCTATTTTCAAAACAGGTGACAGGTCCTTAGCTTCGAACTATAGACCAATAAGCCTAACCTCCATAGTGGGAAAATTTATGGAATCAATAATTGCCGAGGCAGTTCGTAGCCATCTTGAAAAGCAATAAATAATCAACGAATCTCAGCATGGTTTTACAAAGGGGCGTTCCTGCCTTACGAATTTATTAACTTTTTTCACTAAGGTATTTGAGGAGGTAGATCATGGTAATGAATATGATATTGTGTATATGGACTTCAGTAAGGTTTTTTGACAGGGTCCCACATCAGAGACTATTGGGGAAAATTAAAGCACATGGAATAGGAGGAGAAATTTTTTTCCTGGATAGAGGCATGGTTGAAAAATTAGGCAGCAGAGAGTTTGCATAAATGGGGAGAAATCAGAGTGGGGAAGCGTCACGAGCGGTGTTCCACAGGGGTCAGTGTTGGGCCCCTGCTGTTCACAATCTACATAAACGACATAGATGAGGGCATAAAGAGCGACATCGGCAAGTTTGCCGATGACACCAAATAGGCCGCGAATTCATTCTGACGAGGACATTCGAGCACTCCAGGAAGATTTGAATAGACTGATGCAGTGGTCGGAGAAGTGGCAGATGCAGTTTAACATAGACAAATGCAAAGTTCTAAATGTTGGACAGGACAATAACCATGCCACATATAAACTAAATAATGTAGATCTTAATATTACGGATTGCGAAAAAGATTTAGGAGTTCTGGTTAGCAGTAATCTGAAACCAAGACAACAGTGCATAAGTGTTCGCAATAAAGCTAATAGAATCCTTGGCTTCATATCAAGAAGCATAAATAATAGGAGTCCTCAGGTTGTTCTTCAACTCTATACATCCTTGGTTAGACCTCATTTAGATTATGCTGCACAGTTTTGGTCACCGTATTACAGAATGGATATAAATTCTCTGGAAAATGTACAAAGGAGGATGACAAAGATGATCCCATGTATCAGAAACCTTCCCTATGAGGATAGACTAAGGGCCCTGAAACTGCACTCTCTAGAAAGACGTAGAATTAGGGGGGATATGATTGAGGTGTATAAATGGAAGACAGGAATAAATAAAGGGGATGTAAATAGTGTGCTGAAAATATCTAGCCTAGACAGGACTCGCAGCAATGGTTTTTAAGTTGGAAAAATTCAGATTCAGGAAGGATATAGGAAAGTACTGGTTTGGTAATAGAGTTGTGGATGAGTGGAACAAACTCCCAAGTACCGTTATAGAGGCCAGAACGTTGTGTAGCTTTAAAAATAGGTTGGATAAATACATGAGTAGATGTGGGTGGGTGTGAGTTAGACCTGATAGCTTGTGCTAACAGGTCGGTTGCCGTGTTCCTCCCTTAAGTCAATGTGACCTGACCTGACTAGGTTGGGTGCATTGGCTTAAGCCGGTAGGAGACTTGGACCTGCCTCGCATGGGCCAGTAGGCCTTCTGCAGTGTTCCTTCGTTCTTATGTTCTTAAATCTCTAAACTTCCTACCTGGGGAGGTGGAGGTGGCGGTGGTAGTGAGAGAGACATTGGTGATACTGGCGGCTGTGAAGAGTGTTGGTGGCGGCGGCTTGTTGGTGCCTTGATACAAGTACAATGCTGGGAAACTCTGCAAAGGGGGAAAAAATGCAGAAAACCCCCTGTTAAAAAAGATTAAGTTTGACGAAGGAAAATCTCGAATAGTTGAAAAAAAAGGACACACATTATTATAAAACAGGTGGGAAAGGGCGCCTTGATGTTGGAGTTGCCATTTTCTTCCCTGGATTAAATTTCATTAACATTTTTCTTATAACAATTAGAGAGGAGGATACACATCTTAAATCGTTTAAGGCTTTCACGTGACAGTGTTTCACTGTGTGTGGAACTTTATCAGTTCCCTTCATAAAGTTTTACACAGAGCGAAACGTTGTCACAATATAAGTTCATTCAGCATCTGTGTCTTTTCTTCATCACTGTCGGAAGTACGATTTTATATCCAGTTTACAGCTTCAAACGACAAATCTTTGAATAGGTAGCGATGAGAGACAAAAAAAAATTAAATCTGACCAAATGCCGGGCCCAACGTTTTGGAATATGAGGGATATTGGGCCTTTTGATTTAAAAGCGGGATCTGGATGGTACAGGGCATTGAATTTGGGGGCGGGGCTGGGGAACCCTCCCAACCGTGTCTTGAGGAGTACCCACACCATACTGTGGGAGGAGTGCTAGTGTTAGCGCTGCCGTCTGGCATTCAGAAACATCGTGCATGGAATTGGATTCATCTATGAAGTGTAGTAAAAACCAATGGGTATAGCACTTCTGTAAACAAAAAATATCGGGCTATATCACACACAACTGGAGAATCGAAGGGTCCCAGAGTGCCAAGACACGCAAGAAAATCAAAGGTAACAAGGTAAATAAAGTGAGATTGTTTGTGGGAGACAAAGACAAAGGGATTCCTAAATATTACATTTTGATAACACTATTTTTATCTGCAACGTTAAAAGTGTAAGTCTTGTATGATGACAAGGCAGTTTCTTTTTCTGATTAACCCCACTCCCTGACTCCCAAAACGGAAGCCTCAATTTTCACTACCGGGGGGGCAGCGGGAGGTGTGGACAGTGGGGCCACAAATGAATCATAAGAACATAAGAAAGGAGGAACACCGGCAGAAAGGCCTGTTGGCCCATACTAGGCCAGTCCTTTACAATTTCATCCACTAACAAAATATTTGCCCCAACCCAATTTTCAATGCACCCAAGAAATAAGCTCTGATGTGCAAGTCCCACTCAAATCCACCCCTCTTCACTCATTATTTACCAACCTAAATTTGAAGTACCCAAGCCTAGCCTCAATAACCCCAAAACTGTTGCTTACACTTCTTGATATAAATCCCAATAATCTATTTGCCTTATTACGTACGCTTGGGCATTGCTGGTCTCGGTTTAAGGTTGCTGCTTACCATAACCCAAATCTTTCGCATTCTATATGCTAAGTTCAACATTTATTAAGCTGGTAGTGCAGGGTTTATGAACATTTCGAGCTTTAGAACTACATTTACTACATTGAACTGCACTCTGCCACTTTTTTCTGATCAAGATTTGAGTTTGTCTAAATCCTCCTGAAGTTTGTGAGAATCCTCTGAATCGTTTAATCCTACCTATCCTCGTGTCATCAACAAATTTGCTTATGTCACTAGTAATTCCCTCGTCAAGGTCGTTTATATATATTATAAACAACAATGGGCCTAAAACTGATCCCTGCGGAACGCCACTTGTTACAGATCCCCACTCAGATTTAACCCCATTTATGCACACTCTGCTTCCTATTAGTGAGCCATGACTCTATCCATGACAGCATTTTTCCCCCAATGCCATGGGCAGCCACTTTCTTCAACAGTCTCTGATGTGGTACTAAAATCTAAAATCTTAACACCAAAATGAGCCAAACGAATACAAGACTGAATCTCAAAAGCGGAATAACATGATCTTAAACAACTTCCGGAACGGCCAGGATATGAACCAATGAGAATCCAGTACTAACAGTAGCAGTCCAGTACTGTAAACACCCTATCAAGTTGGCCTGAAAAAGATGTAGAAATATGCCTAGTTAGACCAAACGTTTTTTAGACCAGCATGGTCTTAAAAAGCACTGACATTACTAGTATTGGCTCTCCATGGGTTTAAATCCTGCTCATGCCATGAATAAAATGAACACTGGTGAGCTAGTGGAATGCATTTTGGGGAGGAGGTTTTGATGCCGATGAAAGACATCAAGACACCTGTTAGGTAAGACACATATGCAACAGTTAGGTATCTTTATTATGAAACGTTTCGCCTACACAGTAGGCTTCTTCAGTCAAGTACAGAAAAGTTGATAGAAGCCAGAAGATACTTGAAGACGATGTAATGTCCATCACCTTAAAGTTTTGAAAGGGGGTCATCCCTCAGTCTGGAGAAGAGCATGTTTCCATAGTAATGAAACAATATGGAGAAGAATGCAGGATGGAGCTTTTATAGCGCCAAGAGGTGAGAGTAGGCCACTAGGAGAAGTAAGAACTCAGGGTTGTTGAAAGGTTAGGCCCTCTCAAACCAGCCCCTCCACTAGTGGAAGTTGCGAAGTTATTGAGGTCTGTACCAAGATACCCTTGGTTGCAGTGTCTGAAAAGATTGAACATTAAAATGGGTTAATAAAATTCCGACAGGTTGTTAGGTAAGACACATATGCAACAGTTAGTATCTTTATTATGAAACGTTTCGCCTACACAGTAGGCTTCTTCAGTCAAGTACAGAAAAGTTGATAGAAGCAGACACCTGAAGCCACCCTTCCCTTGCTCGGATGAAACTTAATTACCTCCTCAGGCGCAGTATAACCTCTATGGAGCTTGTATTTTCCTTGTGAGCGTAACAAAACTCAAGATAAGTAACATGTGCTTATTTCGCCTGTGCTACAGGCGTCTCAGTCGAATACAGAATTGATTACGATACCAAAGACAGTAGAAGTGAAGAGGCAATTAATTAGTCTCTCAGCCTTAACAGAAGGCTCAGAGACTGACCATCTTCTATCAAGGCTGAGAGATTGCAAACCACAAAATTATCTCTCCATTCCTCACTGTCTCCATGGGTATGTAATCACCTCTACATTTGATGGTAAGCTGCAGCATAAGCAAAACGTTTCCTCAATAAAGATACCTAAGTGTCCCCCAGGCCGGCCAAACTTTTCATTTGTATACTATTTTTTTACTAAACCTCAAAGGGTTGGAAATAGCGATTCAAACACCTTGTATATGGGTTTATCCTTACCACAGGGACATAACGGGGAAACCCGTATTATACCGTAAAGCCGATTGGTGAAACGCCTGTAAATAAGGCAATTTTTAAAATTTTCCGCTTTTTAACTTCAAAATTGTTATTCCACGAGTGAAATGTTTAGATTGTAAATGTAATTTGAGGGTTTTAGTAGGCGGCGGGGGATAAACTACCCTTTCAGAAAATTGACACGACTGCTAGCTGCAGCGATGGGGGTCAGATCGTCCCCGGGGTTTGTGCTGGTCAGTCTTTGAAGTCGGGAAACCAGATTCAGGTAGCCATCTACCGTACAAAATGGACCAGCAACACCGGCCCTTGTCTCTACTGGTGGTAGTGGAGGGGGTGGGAGGGTGGGTAGTGGTGGCGGAGAGGATGGGGGTGGTGTGCTGGTGGTCTGAAACTGTATAGGAGGTGATGGTTGCGGGTGATTGTGTAGTTGGTGGTAGTGATGGGGGTTGTATTGGATAGGTAATTAGTTTGGAGGCTGTTTTAGGAGGCGATAATGATGGTAATTGTGGTTTGTGGAGGCGGTGGGTGTTAATGGCGATTGGGGTAACGTGATGGTAATGGTTGTGTTTGACGTGTGGTGGTGGGTAGTGATGGTGGTTGGTTTGATGGTGGTAATGGTAGTTGCGAAGGCTGTGTAGGCGGTGATAATGATGGTAATTGTGGTTGTGGAGGTTTGTGTGGGTGTTAATGGCGATTGTGGGTAACGCTGATGGTAATGGTTGTGATGATGTGTAGGTGGTGGTAGTGATGGTGGTTGCGTTGATGGTGGTAATGGTAGTTGCGAAGGCTGTGTGGGCGGTGATAATGATGGTAATTGTGGTTGTGGAGGCTTGTTTTGGGTGTTAATGGCGATTGTGGTAACGCTGATGGTAATGGTTGTGATGACTGTGTAGGTGGTGGTAGTGATGGTGGTTGCGTTGATGGTGGTAATGGTAGTTGCGAAGGCTGTGTAGGCGGTGATAATGATGGTAATTGTGGTTGTGGAGGCTGTGTAGGTGATAATGGCGATTGTGGTAGCTCTGTTGGTAATGGTGGTGGTGGTGGTGGTGGTGGTGGTGGTTGTAACTCTGATGGAAGTGGTGGTGGTTGCAACTCTGATGGAAGTGGTGGTGGTTGTAACTCTGATGGAAGTGGTGGTGGTGGCGGTGGTGGTGGTGGTGGTAGCAGTGTTGGTGATATCTGCGGGAAGAATTCTTCAGTTAATGCTGGGAAAAACTCAGCAGTGTCTGGGGTCTGGTCAAGAAAAATTGCCAGAGCTGCACTGCCAATAGCAACCGGCACTGCAATGGGCACTGCAATGGCGGCCAAGAGGCAGAGATTGATAGTCACGTATGGAAAATTGCTGAATGTCAACACGCAGGTGTTACAGTTGCCAAAGCAGGATGATGGTGTAGGTGCCGTGGAAATCGTGAACGGCGTGGTTGTCGTGGCTGTTGTGGTCGCTGTAATTGTCGAAGTTGTCTCGGTTTCTGTTATTGTCAGGGATACTGTATTGAAGACTTCGGTATCTTGTCGCTTTTCTCGTGAGGGGCAGATTTTTGAAGAAAGCCTTCTGGAAGCCTCCTCAAATACCGTTGACGCCTCAAACGTGTTTTCCTTCCCATATAGACGAGTGACCAGTGTCTCCATGTGGCCAAAATATTCTCCAATATATATATCATTCAGAGCAACATCAGCAGCAACCATTGGTCCCTTGTTTACGAAGGTGACAGACACTCGCGAATTACCATCATCACTATCAATACCCCATGAGCTGGTCTCTAAAAATTTCCACTGACTCTTTTTAACAAAGTTTATTAAAAATCTCAAAACTATGAATAAGATTTTATCTAAGATGGCCTTGCTGTCCAGATGCTACTACAGGGGTGAATGGGGAAACCCTCTGGCTTTCGCTGATATTGGAACCACCCGCGGAGGTTTTTCTGATGTGAAGAAGGCTGTCATTTCCATTCCGATTTTTCTTAGAATTTGACCTGTTCTCCGTTGTGTATGCTCTTTTCCTCCTGGATACAGGCATCTGGCCCCAGCGCCGGTTCCTGGTCAAAGCCGCGGTGGTAGGATCTATACCACATTCTATTTCTGGTGAAGGAAGAAGGGATCACAATAAGCACAGATAGAACTCAATAAAACTATTTTCAGCCATAAGCAACAAGGCACTAAGCAACTGTCGTTTATAAACAATAAGGGACAAGTTACTGCAAGGAAAAAAGCTTTCAAGGAATAATTAAGAGACTACAAGAAGAAAAAAGCATCTTTTAAGTTTTGAGTAACAAGATACAAGAAAAAACAACAGAACATAGCCCGTCTTAGTCTCCCTGCGTCAGCTGGTTAGTTTAAATTACCATAATGCCTTTAAATCTTGTTCATCGTTTGCTAGGTAAAATTAACCACTGTATATCAGCTTAGTCTACTTCTTCAGAAACTTCAACTTAGCAACTACAGTTCACTCGTCTCATTCTCAGCCAGCTTGCAGACTCTTAATCCCGGTTCCCTTCAGGAGTGTGCTCTGATGCTTGTGAAGGGTTCTTGAACTTATAAATTGGGACTACTCCTTCCCTACTTTGTATCCAATTTGATTACCCCTCCCCCATTTCCCAGTCGCGGTACAGCCCCCATACAATTTTGCAGTTTCCCAATGGTGTATTTAAAAATTGCCTGCCCTGTTTTTCTTACTGGTAGTTCTCATCTTCACCAACGACTTGTTTTATTCTTTAAAAATGTTTTTACCTGTTCTGGTTTTCCCTGTTTAACTGTCAAGTCCTGAGATAAAGATTATGAAAAAAATATGAAGACAATTAAGTGAAGAGCAAGGAAGATTTTGAAACAGGTCAGGAGAAGAGGTGAAGGAAAGTTAGAAGACAGATCAGGTGAAGTAATAAAAAAAAAGTGAAAACAGGCCACAAAACGAAATTACCAAAAAACAAAACCAGTTAGTTACCTTGGCCCAGAGCCCGTGTAGTGCAGATGTCCCTCACTGTGCTTCTTCTCGCTGAAATATGAAGTAAATAGAATTAGATTTTCAATAAGCATCCTGGCTACTGATAAGCAAGTCCTACCTCAACAAGATTCTTTTCACTCATATTTTTATCCATCCAAAGGAAAGTCTTAGCTTCAATTATTCTACTTAGTAGATTGTTCCACTCATCCATTAGTTTACTGCTAAACCAGTAGTTTCCTACATTCTTTCTAAATCCAAATTTATCCACCTTGAATCCACTAGTCCGAGTCGTTCTTTATTCTTAGCAGTAACACCTAGTTTATATCTTTGTTTCAGGTTGCCTATCACCTGTACAATATACTTAGTAATATCTTCCCTCATTCTACATCTTTCAAGAGAGTGTAGGTTCAAGGCTCTCCCACTATTCTTGTATGTAAGATTCCTTACACATTATCTTAATGTTGCCAGCCTTCTCTGTATGTTCTCCAATACATTTTTATACATTCCGTGTTATGGAAACCTGAACCGAGACTCATAATCTAAGCGATGCCTTACTAATGATGTATAGAGCCGTAAATAACCTTCAGATTAATGTTACTTGACATAAATCTAAGTAGAAGTAGTCGGTTAAGATGCCTTATTATACATACTCTGTTTTAAACAATCTCTCTCTCTCTCTCTCCTCTCTCTCTCTCTCTCTCTCCTCTCTCTCTCTCTCTCTCTCTCTCTCTCTCTCTCTCTCTCTCTCTCTCTCTCTCTCTCTCCTATAAGCTGGGGGATGTGGATAAAGATAAATACGTACAGTTCAGGTCATTTATTAAAGAAACGTTTTGCTACTCGTGGTTTACTTTCATTTCTGAAGATGCCACTAGTGGCGAAACGTTTCCCCTATTAAACGACTTCGACCACAGTTTGCCGGTACCACCGTAACATATACAACCAAACCAGAGATGGAGTGACGTACCTTGACTACAGACAGGGATGAACTTCCTGCAGGAGTCTGCGCAGAAGATCAGGTAGAAGGATGGGTTGATCTGGCACTGTCCCAGAAGGGAGCCCAGGAAGCACAGGTTGTGTTGGTCCACGCACTCCTCAACCTCTGGAAGGACGAGCACGGGAAGGATTTTTTGATATTTAATAGCGTTAGGAACCCAAGCACTGCGTCACTCTATTTTACATGAGTTACCCTTCAAGAGGGTGCCTTAATATCAAAGAAAGGCTCGTAATTCAAAACATTTGGGGCTACCCTGTCCTTCCTTAATTTAATCTCATTACCTCCTGTTTCTCGGGTCTTTTATAATAATAATAATAATAATAATAATAATAATAATAATAATAATAATAATAATAATCTTCATTTCTACAAGTACCTGTACAAGGACAAGGTATACAGCCTTATCTGACATCAGTGACATACTACTATATAGAAAACCCTTGGTTATGCGGAGTATTTCGGCAAAATTAAGTTAATTTTGTTTCCAGGATGCGACCCACACCAGTCGACTAACACCCAGGTACCTATTTTACTGACAGGTGAACAGGGACAGCAGGTGTCTCAAGGAAACACATCCAGATGTTTTTCCACCCGTACCGGGGATCGAACCACACACTTCAGTGTGTGAGCTGAGTGCGCTAGCAATTGAGCTGCGGAACACCCAAAAGCAATAAATCCAACAAAAGAACCAGTATCTTTATAAGCTTGAGTAGATTCAGCGTGATAAATACCCATACTCACCAGGACATAGGATCTAATCTCGCCAATAAAATCCCACATACCAATGCCCATGCCGGGGACTACCTAGATGGGAATTTCCCAAATTCCTTCTATCTTGCACCAACTGAGCCCACGGAAGCCTGTCATGTAGGGGGGTAATGATTGGGGGGGCATATGGGAGTAAGGGATTATGTAGGGAGGGGAGAGGCAGGCGAGGTGGTAGGAGTGAGATGATTAGCGGAGGTAGGTAGGTAATGACAGGTCAGTGGTGACCACCACGACACTCTCATTAACTCTACACTACTCACTAACATATGCCTCGCCCACTCTTCACTCATATAAACATAATAAAATATGAGAAATAGGAATAGCTAATAACGGGGACAGTGAATATTACTATTCTACTCAAACACAGTTTATTATTACGTCTTTGTACCATAATATATTTGGGAACAGAACATTATTGTGGTTTAGATAAATGGGGTGGTACACATAAGCAGTGAGACAGGGAACACAATCAACTTGACCAAAATGAATGTAACTTACAATATAGCACAGAGGACAGTTCACTACAGGAACTAAGCCACAGATCCCAAGACCTACACAGCACGAGTACTGCGCCAAGCCAGTACTCTGCCCAATGCCTCCAACAGTCGCCTCCAGAGACTTCAGCAGCCTTCTCCCGAGCCCTGCACCCCAGCAGCAGCTCCGCTCGAAGTCTCTGCTCAGGAGCTCTGCATCCCAGCAGCAGCTCCGCTCGAATCTCCCTACTCATCTCTTCCTTGGGCTTTTTTATGGTGGTCCAAGCACCCTCCACAACCACGTGTACGACCTGATGCCTAGGTCTGAGGCGTCAAGAACAAAAGACCTCAGACGTGGGCGTGGCTACAGACGTTTGCCAAGGCAAGGTGTGACCATATAATTGGTTAAATTAGGTCTCCCCAGAGACCTCACAAGCCCAGCTGAACTACATCACAAGCCACCGAGATTATAAAGTCACTTAAAAATAACTCAGGGAATCTGTCTCATGTCCCACCATTACTGTACAAGCGAGCGGCCCATGTCCTTTCGCATGCTATTTCATTACTTTTTAACAAATCACTAGAAACTAGCACCTTCCCGAAACTACTCAAGATGACAAGGGTTACACCAATACATGAAGGTGGTGACCCTACAGACTTAAACAACTATAGGCCAATATCAAACTTACCATTGCTATCCAAAATCTTTGAGAAACTCGTGCACAGGAGACTATATTCATTTATAACGACACAAAACATACTCAACCCCTGCCAATTTGGATTCAGGAAAAATAAAAGCACTAATGATGCAATCATAAAAATGCTAGATCTGCTTTACACAGCATTGGAAAATAAGGAATATCCACTAGGAATTTTTATTGACCTAAGAAAAGCTTTAGACACAGTAGACCACGACATCCTGGAGACCTGGAGTTTACCTGGAGAGAGTTTCGGGGGTCAACGCCACCGCGGCCCGGTCTGTGACCAGGCCTCCTGGTGGATCAGCGCCTGATCAACCAGGCTGTTGCTGCTGGCTGCACGCAAACCAACGTACGAGCCACAGCCCGGCTGATCAGGAACTGACTTTAGGTGCTTGTCCAGTGCCAGCTTGAAGACTGCCAGGGGTCTGTTGGTAATCCCCCTTATGTGTGCTGGGAGGCAGTTGAACAGTCTCGGGCCCCTGACACTTATTGTATGGTCTCTTAACGTGCTAGTGACACCCCTGCTTTTCATTGGGGGGATGGTGCATCGTCTGCCAAGTCTTTTGCTTTCGTAGTGAGTGATTTTCGTGTGCAAGTTCGGTACTAGTCCCTCTAGGATTTTCCAGGTGTATATAATCATGTATCTCTCCCTCCTGCGTTCCAGGGAATACAGGTTTAGAAACCTCAAGCGCTCCCAGTAATTGAGGTGTTTTATCTCCGTTATGCGCGCCGTGAAAGTTCTCTGTACATTTTCTAGGTCGGCAATTTCACCTGCCTTGAAAGGTGCTGTTAGAGTGCAGCAATATTCCAGCCTAGATAGAACAAGTGACCTGAAGAGTGTCATCATGGGCTTGGCCTCCCTAGTTTTGAAGGTTCTCATTATCCATCCTGTCATTTTTCTAGCAGATGCGATTGATACAATGTTATGGTCCTTGAGGTGAGATCCTCCGACATAATCACTCCCAGGTCTTTGACGTTGGTGTTTCGCTCTATTTCGTGGCCAGAATTTGTTTTGTACTCTGATGAAGATTTAATTTCCTCATGTTTACCATATCTGAGTAATTGAAATTTTCTCATCGTTGAACTTCATATTGTTTTCTGCAGCCCACTGAAAGATTTGGTTGATGTCCGCCTGGAGCCTTTGCAGTGTCTGCAATGGAAGACACTGTCACGCAGATTCGGGTGTCATCTGCAAAGGAAGACACGGTGCTGTGGCTGACATCCTTGTCTATGTCGGATATGAGGATGAGGAACAAGATGGGAGCTAGTACTGTGCCTTGTGGAACAGAGCTTTTCACCGTAGCTGCCTCGGACTTTACTCTGTTGACGACTACTCTCTGTGTTCTGTTAGTGAGGAAATTATAGATCCATCGACCGACTTTTCCTGTTATTCCTTTAGCGCGCATTTTGTGCGCTATTTACGCCATGGTCACACTTGTCGAAGGCTTTTGCAAAGTCTGTATATATTACATCTGCATTCTTTTTGTCTTCTAGTGCATTTTAGGACCTTGTCGTAGTGATCCAGTAGCTGAGACAGACAGGACGACCTGTTCTAAACCCATGTTGCCCTGGGTTGTGTAACTGATGGGTTTCTAGATGGGTGGTGATCTTGCTTCTTAGGACCCTTTCAAAGATTTTTATGATATGGGATGTTAGTGCTATTGGTCTGTAGTTCTTTGCTGTTGCTTTACTGCCCCCCTTTGTGGAGTGGAGCTATGTCTGTTGTTTTTAGTAACTGAGGGACGACCCCGTGTCCATGCTCCCTCTCCATAGGATGGAAAAGGCTCGTGATAGGGGCTTCTTGCAGTTCTTGATGAACACAGAGTTCCATGAGTCTGGCCTGGGGCAGAGTGCATGGGCATGTCATTTATCGCCTGTTCGAAGTTATTTGGCGTCAGGATAACATCGGATAGGCTTGTGTTAATCAAATTTTGTGGCTCTCTCATAAAAAATTCATTTTGATCTTCGACTCTCAGTCTGGTTAGCGGCTTGCTAAAAACTGAGTCATATTGGGACTTGAGTAGCTCACTCATTTCCTTGCTGTCATCTGTGTAGGACCCATCTTGTTTAAGTAGGGGCCCAATACTGGGCGTTGTTCTCGATTTTGATTTGGCATAGGAGAAGAAATATTTTGGGTTTCTTTCGATTTCATTTATAGCTTTTAGTTCTTCCCGCGATTCCTGACTCCTAAAGGATTCTTTTAGCTTAGTTCGATGCTTGCTATTTCTCTGACCAGTGTCTCCTGCGCATTTCAGATATATTGACCTCTTTTAGCCGCTCTGTTATTCTTTTCCGTCGCCTGTAAAGGGAGCGCCTGTCTCTATTTTACATCTACTCCTCCTTTTTCTTAGAGGAATAAGCCTTGTGCATACATCGAGTGCCACCGAGTTAATCTGTTCTAGGCATAAGTTTGGGTCTGTGTTGCTTAGTATATCTTCCCAGCTTATATCGGTTAGGACTTGGTTTACTTGGTCCCACTTTATGTTTTTGTTATTGAAGTTGAATTTGGTGAATGCTCCCTCGTGACTAGTCTCATTTTGTCGGTCTGGGGCTCCTCGCATACATGTCTGAACCTCAATTATGTTGTGATCTGAGTATATTTTTTTTTGATATGGTGACATTTCTTATCAGATCATCATTGTTAGTGAATATGAGGTCTAGTGTATTCTCCAGTCTAGTAGGCTCTATTATTTGCTGGTTTAAATTGAATTTTGTGCAGAGATTTAAAAGCTCGTGTGAGTGTGAGTTTTCATCAGAGCTGCCCCCTGGTGTTATTACTGCAACAATATTATTTGCTATATTCCTCCATTTTAGGTGCCTTAAGTTGAAATCCCCCAGGAGCAAGATGTTGGGTGCAGGAGCTGGAAGATTTTCCAGACAGTGGTCTATTTTTAACAGCTGTTCCGGGAAATTTTGCTGGGATGTTGCATCCGGAGGCTTGTAGACTACCACAATGACTAGGTTTTGGTTCTCGACCTTTACTGCTAAAACTTCCATTACGTCATTTGAGGCATTAAGCAGTTCTGTGCAAACAAGTGACTCTGCAATGTACAGGCCAACCCCCCCCCCCTTTTGCCTGTTCACTCTGTCACATCTGTATAGGTTGTAACCTGGGATCCATATTTCATTGTCCAAGTGATCCTTTATGTGGGTCTCAGTGAAAGCCGCGAACATTGCCTTTGCCTCTGCAAGCAGTCCTACTCCACAAACTTGACCATTACGGTAAAAGAGGCCATGCGCTTGCTTATTTCAAATCTTACCTTACTAATAGGTATCAGTATGTCACCATTAAAGACACAGCATCAACAACACGGCCACTTGATACTGGAGTTCCGCAGGGAAGTGTCCTTGGTCCCCTGCTCTTCCTCATATACATCAATGATCTTCCAAACGTATCCCAACACCTGAAACCCATTCTCTTTGCTGACGACACGACTTATGTCATCTCTCACCCTAATCTTGCCACCCTCAACACCATTGTTAACGAGGAGCTGATCAAAATATCGACTTGGATGACAGCCAATAAACTTACGCTTAACACTGACAAAACCTACTTTATTATGTTTGGTAGCAGAGCAGGAGATGCACAAATTAACATTAAGATCGACAACACTCTAATTACCAGACATAATGAGGGCAAATTCCTAGGCCTATACCTATACCTTGACAACAACCTGAATTTCAGCACCTATATCTAACACATAACCAAAAAAGTATCCAAAACGGTTGGGATCCTCTCCAAGATACGATACTACGTGCCGGAAAATGCCCTTCTCACACTATACCACTCATTTATCCATACCTCACCTATGCTATTTGTGCTTGGGGATCAACTGCAGCAACACACCTAAAGCCAATAATAACCCAACAAAAAGCTGCAGTAAGAATAATCACTAAATCCCATCCCTGGCAACACCCCCCCCCACTCTTCATAGATCTAAACTTACTCCCTGTTCAGTACATCCACACTTACTACTGTGCAATCTACATCTACAGGACCTTAAACTCCAATATCAACCTTGACCTAAAACGCTTTCTTGATAGTTGTGACAGAACCCACAGGCATAACACCAGACACAAACATCTCTACGACATACCCCGTGTCCGACTAAACCTTTACAAAAATTCAATGTATGTCAAAGGCCCTAAAATCTGGAACACCCTACCTGAAAACTCTAGAACTGCAGACACATTCATCACCTTCAAAACTACCATTAGAAAACATCTTATCTCCCTGATACACCCCGTCAACTAACTACACGAATACCACCTGGTGGTTCACACTTACACTCACTCTCCCATTTGACCATAAACAGAAATATTAATCTCAACCTTAAAATAATGAATCCTGTGATACTCCACTACTGAAACTATGTACTGTGCCAAAACAAAAGCATTCACATTGCTAAACTCACAAACTAGTATTTAGGCACTTAGCCATAATACCAACTTACCTCATAATTTGTAATATTTTAAAATTAAGATTTAAACTAAGTCTGCCTGAAATGCCTAGCCATGCTAGGTGTTCTAGTGGTACACTCTGTAATCATTATTTTACTGCATGTAAACCACACAATAACCAAATTCTGCAAACTCAGCATTGTAATCCTTATAGAGAATAAACTTTGAATTTGAATTTGAATTTTAATTTGAATATACTCACGGACAGGAGGACAAATGCATATACTCACTGACAGGAGGACAGGTGTTGCAGGTATTCGGGCAGTTGACGTTCATGAAGGCAGCGTTGACGTCACAATCGCCTCGCGAACCCAAGACAGGACAATCCGCTCTGTGATCCTGGCAGTTCTCCACTGTGGCGGACAGAGTGAATGTGCTGGTGAGAGTGCAAGTGAGAATAACAGTAAGAGGAGAGTGAATGAGGGCAAGTGTAATGGTGAGAGTGATGCTAAGTTATTTAACAATAAAAATATTGAATTGCGACTACAGGTTCCACTGTGCCTTTGGAGTTGGCTTCACAAGTGTTGTACTGAATCTTTGGAGCCAGTCGCAACGAAAAGACACACGTTGGAACAACGTTTCGCTCTGCGTAGGGCTTCATCCTGACTTGAGGGAAATGTTGCCCCAGTAATATCATTTTGTTGGTAATTCTACCTGTACTACAAGCCTTGAATAGAATATGTAGGTGGTATTAACCTTGAAACTTGAATAGGTAACAATAAAACTTGAATAGGTTTAAATGTCAACTGAATTACTTGATTACCTCCCATTCTCAAGATGATGCATGACCCACTTGGATTTATCGCTTTCCCATGAATATAATAATACTAACCTTTGGAAGTGGGTTTACAGGTGTGGCAGGTGCGTTGGCAAAACACCTGCATGTAAGCTGGGTTGTTCTCACACTCGCCCTGGGCTGCGAACTGCCTGCACATGTTGTCGGTGTCTTGACAGGTGTCCGGGATGTCGAAGTCTGCAGGCAAATCAAATGCATGACATTTGTAGTCGGCAGACACAACGAAGAGTGTATATACCTTAGCGTATATACACTAAGAGGTACTCACCTATAGTCACCTGTATGTGGTTGCAGAGGTCGAATCACAGCCCCTGGCCCAGCCTCTTTGCTAGTCGCTACTAGGTCACTCTCTCCCCGCTCCAACAGTCTTATCATACCTCTTCTTAAAGCTATGTATGGATCCTGCCTCTACTGCTTCACTCTCCAGATTGTTTCACTTCCTGGTAACTCTAATTCTAAAAAAAAATACTTCCAAATATCCCTATGACTCATCTGAGTTATTAACTTCCATTTGTGTCCAATTGTTTCTGTTCCCCACCTCTAACATTCCAGCCCTGTCCACCTTGTCAATACCTCTCAGTATTTTATACATGTACATATATCAGTACAGGCGGTTGTCTTTCAGGGTATATACACTGAGTTTTTATACCCCATTTGAGGGGGGTGGTATAGAAAGTCCTTATAGCCTTATTGTAGACGACGGATTGTCCATCCTAACAAACCAAATATACACACATGGTCAACACACCGAGAGGCGTACACATCTTAAGAGTATATATACTGAGGATTTAAGCATTCTTTTCTATTTCAGAACACAGATTAATTAATTGATCCACATACAGTTGAAAGGATTGAAACCACAACAAACTGACTGCACACTGGTACAGGTGTGGTATAGTCTCAGGATTTTAGATTGCTCATTTTTTTCTGTTTCAAGAGGAAAATAAAATACAAAGAACCCAAGTTGGCAAGTTAGTTTGTTCGGTAAAGACCTGTGGACCTCAGTGGGTCATTATCATTAAGCATGACTTGGTCCTTGAAATGGGGACTAAATTCTCATTCTACGTACATACACACACTGATATATATTTCTTGGTATGTATAGACTGCCGAGACTGTGCCAGCAAATAACTTAGTTAGCTTAGTTTAACATCTCTATTATGCACCTCATACCCATCCTGTGGGCGGTAGTCACCCCATACCCATGGCGCGGGTGGTAGTCACCCCATACCCATCCTGTGGGCGGTAGTAACCCGATACCCATCCTGTGGGTGGTAGTCACACCATACAGTTCCTGTGGGTGGTAGTCACACCATACCCATCCTGTGGGTGGTAGTCACCCCATACCCATCATGTGGGCGGTAGTCACCCCATACCCATCTTGTGGGTGGTAGTCACCCCATACCTATCCTGTGGGAGGTAGTCACCCCATACCCATCCCGTGGGCTGTAGTCACCCCATACCCATCCTGTGGGTAGTAGTCACCCCATACCCATCCTGTGGGTGGTAGTCACCCCATACTCATCCTATGGGTGGTAGTCTCCCCATACCCATCCTGTGGGCGGTAGTCACCCCATGCCCATCCTGTGGGTGGTAGTCAAAGGATTACAGAGGTACATAATGGGTCCAGGGACACACACACACACACACACTAAGGAATCGTTCAGGACCCCGTACACCGTGTACGTTAGGCCCATATTGGAGTATGCGGCACCAGTTTGGAACCCACACCTAGCCAAGCACGTAAAGAAACTAGAGAAAGTGCAAAGGTTTGCAACAAGACTAGTCCCAGAGATAAGAGGTATGTCCTACGAGGAGAGGTTAAGGGAAATCAACCTGATGACACTGGAGGACAGGAGAGATAGGGGGGACATGATAACGACATACAAAATACTGAGAGGAATTGACAAGGTGGACAAAGACAGGATGTTCCAGAGATGGGACACAGCAACAAGGGGACACAGTTGGAAGTTGAAGACACAGATGAATCACAGGGATGTTAGGAAGTATTTCTTCAGCCACAGAGTAGTCAGGAAGTGGAATAGTTTGGGAAGCGATGTATTGTAGGCAGGATCCATACATAGTTTTAAGCAGAGGTATGATAAAGCTCAAGGCTCAGGGAGAGTGACCTAGTAGCGACCAGTGAAGAGGCGGGGCCAGGAGCTTGGACTCGACCCCTGCAACCTCAACTAGGTGAGTACAACTAGGTGAGTACAACTAGGTGAGTACACACACACACACACACACACACACACACACACACACACACACACACACACACACACACACACACACACACACACACACACACACAGGCTAAGGAAGGAAGGAGGAGAGACAACAAGAAATGACCGTGAAGTATGTGAAGAACTCAACAAGAGATTCAAAGAAGTGTTCACAGAGGAGACAGAAGGGACTCCAGAAAGACGAGAGGTGGGGCACACCACCAAGTGCTGGACACAGTGCACACAACCGAGGAAGAAGTGAAGAGGCTTCTGAGTGAGCTAGATACCTCAAAGGCAATGGGGCCAGATAACATCTCCCCATGGGTATTGAGAGAGGGAGCAGAGGCGCTATGTGTACCCCTAACAACAATATTCAATACATCTATCGAAACAGGGAGATTGCCTGAGGCATGGAAGACAGCAAATGTAGTCCCAATCTTTAAAAAAGGAGACAGACATGAAGCATTAAACTACAGACCAGTGTCACTGACATGTATAGTATGCAAAATCATGGAGAAGATTATCAGGAGAAGAGTGGTGGAGCACCTAGAAAGGAATGATCTCATCAACAGCAGCCAACATGGTTTCAGGGACGGGAAATCCTGTGTCACAAACCTACTGGAGTTCTATGACATGGTGACAGCAGTAAGACAAGAGAGAGAGGGGTGGGTGGATTGCATTTTCTTGGACTGCAAGAAGGCGTTTGACACAGTTCCACACAAGAGATTGGTGCAAAAACTGGAGGACCAAGCAGGGATAACAGGGAAGGCACTACAATGGATCAGGGAATACTTGTCAGGAAGACAGCAGCGAGTCATGGTACGTGGCGAGGTGTCAGAGTGGGCACCTGTGACCAGCGGGGTCCCGCAGGGGTCAGTCCTAGGACCAGTGCTGTTTCTGGTATTTGTGAACGACATGACGGAAGGAATAGACTCTGAGGTGTCCCTGTTTGCAGATGACGTGAAGTTGATGAGAAGAATACACACGATCGAAGACCAGGCAGAACTACAAAGGGATCTGGACAGGCTGCAGACCTGGTCCAGCAATTGGCTCCTGGAGTGCAATCCCACCAAGTGCAAAGTCATGAAGATTGGGGAAGGGCAAAGAAGGCCGCAGACGGAGTACAGTCTAGGGGGTCAGAGACTACAAACCTCACTCAAGGAAAAGATCTTGGGGTGAGTATAACACCAGGCACATCTCCTGAAGCGCACATCAACCAAATAACTGCTGCAGCATATGGGCTCCTAGCAAACCTCAGAACAGCATTCCGACATCTTAATAAGGAATCATTCAGGACCCTGTACACCGTGTATGTTAGGCCCATATTGGAGTATGCGGCACCAGTTTGGAACCCACACCTAGCCAAGCACGTGAAGAAACTAGAGAAAGTGCAAAGGTTTGCAACAAGACTAGTCCCAGAGCTAAGAGGTATGTCCTACGAGGAGAGGTTAAGGGAAATCAACCTGACGACACTGGAGGACAGGAGAGATAGGGGGGACATGATAACGACATACAAAATACTGAGAGGAATTGACAAGGTGGACAAAGACAGGATGTTCCAGAGATTGGACACAGTAACAAGGGGACACAGTTGGAAGCTGAAGACACAGATGAATCACAGGGATGTTAGGAAGTATTTCTTCAGCCACAGAGTAGTCAGTAAGTGGAATAGTTTGGGAAGCGATGTAGTGGAGGCAGGATCCATACATAGCTTTAAGCAGAGGTATGATAAAGCTCACGGCTCAGGGAGAGTGACCTAGTAGCGATCAGTGATGAGGCGGGGCCAGGAGCTCGGACTCGACCCCCGCAACCTCAACTAGGTGAGTACACACACACACACACACACACACACGCACACACACGCACGCACAGATAAGGAGGGAGGCCCAGCGACAGTACGAAAATGACATACCATCTAAAGCCAAGTCTGACCCGAAACTGCTGTTTAGCCACATTAGCAGAAAGACGACAGTCAAAGACCAGGTGATAAGGCTGAGGAAAGAAGGTGGGGAACTCACGAGAAACGATCAAGAGGTGTGCGAGGAGCTCAACAGGAGATTTAAGGAAGTATTCACAGTGGAGACAGGAAGGACTCTAGGAAGACAGGACAGAGGGGGACACCAACAGGGAATAGACCAACAGTGCTGGGCGATATGCACACAACTGATGAGGAGGTGAAGAAGCTGCTAAGTGGCCTTGATGCATCAAAGGCAATGGGACCGGATATCTCCCCGTGGGTCCTCAGGGAGGGAGCAGATATACTGTGTGTGTCATTAACCACAATCTTCAACACATCCCTTGAAACTTGGCAACTACCTGAGGTATGGAAGTCCGCAAATGTAGTTCCCATTTTTAAAAAAGGAGACAGAAAAGAGGCATTAAATTACAGAGCAGTGTCACTGACCTGTATAGTACACAAAGTCATGGAGAAGATTATCAGGAGAAGAGTGGTGGAGCACCTGGAACGGAATAAGATTATAAACGATAGCTAGCATGGATTCATGGAAGGCAAATCCTGCGTCACAAACCTTCTGGAGTTCTATGACAAAGTTACAGAAGTGCGACACGAGAGAGGAGGGTTGGTTGATTGCATTTTCTTGGACTGCAAGAACTCCTTCGACACGGTTCCTCACAAGAGACTAGTGCAGAAACTAGAGGATCAGGCGCGTATAACAGGAAGGGCACTGCAATGGATCAGAGAATACCTGACAGGGAAGCAACAACGAGTCATGGTACGGGATGAGGTTTCACAGTGGGCACCTGTGACGAGCGGGGTCCCACAGGGGTCGGTCCTAGGACCAGTGCTATTTCTGGTATATGTGAATGACATGATGGAAGGGA